AATTATCCTTTAAGTCTAGTACCCGATCTGGCATGCCTTGTCTAAAGGTATCCACAGACGCACATGACTGATGGACATGGAGGAAGCGTTTAGCAGATGACATGAAATGACACCTCGGCCTCTATTAGTCTTATCATTTGCCACAAACGTTTACTGCAAATTCAATTTACAACACTTTAAAGCCATTTGTAAACAGAAAAAAAAAGCATGGCACGTTTTCTGAACGGGACGGACGTTTCTTCTTTGCTAGAAATATCAGTTCCCGGCATGAAAAGATACTGTAAACCACCAATCAGACTCACGCCATCAAGCCAAATAGTCATCTTTTCACTGGGCTGATAAAAGCAACTGGTTAAAAGATTACAGCTGAATGAGAACGCGATCAATAACCTGCCCAGAAAACGCTGCATCCCCCACGCTGCTGCCTCAGGTCTGCACAAATCCATTAGGCTGATTCAATTAAAATGCTCTCCTAAAGATAGAAACAGCTGTAATCGACTTGATAGAATATGGCAGTTAGCAAACTGTCTGTGGTGTAAGCTTTATAATGCCCTTATGGCAGCTTCTTCTCAAGCACATCCCATTACCGAAGAGTTATGGAATCGCCCCTCTCATACTGCCGCACAAACTTACAAATAGAGATATGAGCACTTCAACACAACGAAATCCTCAACATTAAAATCTTTGTACTTTTCCTTTGATCGTTCAACCAAGCCTGCAAAAGCAGTAAACCAAGCAGCTGAAACCGGCATTCATTTCCAAGCTTTCCATAAACTGGACTAATGGCAGGGTGTGCTTTTATATAGAGCAAGGCTCTACATGTTCTCCATAGGAAACAGATGATGGGGCTTGTGTATAAAACATACACCTGCGTCTTATGCAAGCTAGGCACAAGGATTTAAAGGACTACTCCAGGAACAGAGGCAACATTTTCAAGAATCAGTTCATTCTGCTCACACCAAATGAGGAATTTCAGGTTCCTAACATAATGTGACATCTAACTAGTGCAAATCAGATTGTCCAAGAAAAATCCCTCATCCCAGTAAGGCAGTATTGTGTACATTCGAAATTCCCGCCAGCAGACCTTTTGGCCTCATTCACACTGATAAGACCCGGCCCGTACAGATCCGTGCGGCGTGTACAGCCGTATCGGGCCGCTCCCGGGAAGGACAGGTGCGTGTGATTGCACGCAGCAGCCTGTTCTCTATGGGAGTACGCGCCGTACGCTCATCCGAACTGCACATCCGTGCGGGTGCCTGTACTCGGATCCAACCTGTCTGCGTCCGAGCACCTCTCCCACAGTCCTTAAACTGGAGCTGGACATATGCCAGGAGCGAGGTAGCCAATGCGCCCTAATAATCCTGCTGGCTCCTTGGTTGTACATACTGGCTGCTAAATTCCATATTAATATTTATCCACCTCTGCCTTAAACACCACCAATTACACAGAAACACTCCCCACCCAATTCTAACCCAGCCTTGTGTTCATATCTTCACTGTATCCTCTCCCCACACTGTGTACTTCTTTCCACCTCCATTAGTTCCCCTTGAATGGGGACTGGCATTGCACAGAATCTCCAACGGATTGCATCAATACCATAACTGCAATAATCTGACTTAACTGCACATGCATACACAAGATGGAAATCATTCTATGAAATGAAACATTCCACATGTACAGAATGACTGCAATCAACGTGCATAGACTCCAAACACTTGCCTGCTCATGAACGGAACACATTTGGCATTTTTTAAGCTGCAATTCAGACAAATATAGCAAGCCTTCTACAAGACATCAAGGACGTGGTGCTGCAGAATCGGGAATCTCCATCCTCCTTGTGTTGCAATTTGTATGGGAGAGCCTGCAGTGGGTTCAGGGCGGACATCATTAAGGGCAGGTTTACACCATTTTCCGGATCAGATCTGGTCTGGAAAATGGTGTGAACCTGCCTGCAGTTGAAGTGCATTCCAGACCAGACAAAATGAGACAAGCAGACTGCGCTGGTGTGAACAGAGGCCAGAAATAGCATAAGGATACATTAGGATGCATTTTGGGTCTGTAAACAATCTGATCTGGAGATGATCTTAGATGGCCCTTCAGAAGATAAGGAAACTGGCAGCTGAGAAATATCAACAAAACAAAACCATGAGCAAAATTATAACCATGGAGCCAGTAGGCAGCGATATGAGACCACTTGTAGACAATTACCAGGTCTGACTGAACTGCAGCTGTGAAGTCATATGTATCACGTTGTCTAGAACAGCCTTCATCAACCACGGTGCCGTGGCTCTGGTCTAGAAAACCATACTGCCCAACTTGCTTAACACGAAGTCCCAATACCAGATCCAGGCATAGGCCAGACTACTACTCCCATAAGCCACCTGTGCACCACTGAGACACGGCATCATGCAATAAACCTATTGCTCATCATGCAGGTTTGAAAAGCCAGACCAGTCAATACAGACAAATCAGATCAGGGTATATACCAGAGCAAGGGTAAGCCACCTTGGCAACTCCAGCTCTTGTGAAACTAGAAATCCCATAATGCATTGCAAGACAGAGCCACAGGAATGACTACCAAGCAGATGCCTGATGGAGTTGTAGTCTCACCACAGCAGGATTGCTGAGGTTGCCTATCCATGCACTAGAGCAGGGGTGGCAAACACAAGGCCCGCCGGACCTTGTAATGTGGCCCGCACAGCGCAGGGGTGTGGAATTCGTATTGCCCGACGCCCGGGACAAACTAGAGGTACAGAATCCACATCAGAACGCAGCTAGTGTAGATGCTTTCCATGGTGGTTATGTTTCATCCTCATGGCTGGATCATTTATTTTCTTTGCAGACAACCCAGGAGTCAGAATGTCAAACATGACAGAAGAGCAGGAACCCCTGAGAGGGGAAAACCTCACTGCTGGAGTCCCCCATCAATAGGAAAAGTCACTTGGTGATTCCAAACACCAGAGCCAGCCATCCAGGTTTCAGCACTGTGAATCTTGAATATGAGCATTTGTAATAGCCGAGTACATATAATTATGAACTGATCATAAACTACCACCGAGGACAAGTACATAGGTGCTGCCACCCAGAGACAGAAGTACTGCCTGGTGGGTATTTCTATATACAAAGGCCAATGGAAAGTCATTGATCCGGAGCCCCATGTCACATGTACTATAGAGAGCAGACAAACTTTGTTCACCAAATGCACGCTACTCAGATAGGTCAGGTGTTTGTTTACAATGTGCAAATGTGAAATGTCCGGTCTCCCCCATAAAATATGGCTCACAAGAAGCATCCAAACCTACAGAAATGGTCACCCCCCCCCCCCCCTTCAGAATATAAACAGAGTGCCAGTCAGGAGACAGATCCACTTACCATGGTGAACTCGCACTGTAAGGATGCCACTGACCTTCTGGAATTACACAAGTTGGAAGATAAAAAGAGGATTTTACACGGCGTGCTCAGACATAGGACTCCAAAATATAGATCTGAACAGCAGCATTATAGCACTGTCGGAACTATATGAGGCTGAAAGGAATTAAACTATAAGCCCTATACCTATTATTCTACATATTGCAATATGGGCATCCTGGAAGCCAGGTTAGCGCAAATAAAGAACTCGAGTTAAGTTGATTTGTGAAAATAAGTTGGGAATCTCCTTAATTACAGATCCTTGCTTGTTTTCATAAATACAAAACTGTTTATTTTATCAGAGTCAACATTCTAACAGCACAAAACCAGGATCTTCTACCCTTTAGGCTGGGTTCACACCTGGGCGTTCCTAATAGGTGCGTTTTATGCCCGTTTTTAAAGCACGACTTTTTCTCCAATGAAACGCGCGTTCAACGCTAGTTTTTTAACCTCCAATGAAACGCGCAGACGCTTGCAAGGGACGGAACCCGGAGGACACAGCTGGGATCACGGACAAAGTAAAACCTACGCTGCATTCCCGAGTGTTGGTCGGGGTTAACGATTTAACCCCGGAGCCACACTCGGGAATACCAATGGATACGCGCTGAAATCTGCCCCTACGCGCGAAAAAGAAGCTCAAGTACTTTGACGCCTAGGGCGTTTTTCAGTGCGACAAAACGGGCTGAAATATGCCTAGGTGGGAACTATGCCCATAGGAATTCATAGCATTTCACTTTGAGCGTTTTTCAGAGATTCGATCAGCGCTGAAAAACACCCAGGTGTGAACCCAGCCTTACACTCATGGGAACCACACAAAGTGCATCTGAACCCTTTTTTTGCTCAGTTTTGGATGGAGTGGAGAGGGAGAACACCTGTCACACTTTTTTTGCGGTCTCTGTGGGTTGTCACTTCCAAATGGAGACTAGCTCTGAAGACCCTGCTGACCACCAGGGATTTCCTTCACTTAGGAGGGATGTTCCATCACTTCCTGTTGTGGCTAACGGACAGGAAGTGAAAAAAAACCTCAAAAAGGGACACAGAAGGGGAGGAAGCCAACAAGGGTCATAACCCCTGCTTTAGTTTTTAGGGTGGCCATACACTGAATTTTCCTTTAGGAACAGTCCGAAATGCCCACAGTAGGTGCTGCTGTCGGCAGCCTTTTGGCCAGCATCCCTTGATCAGCTGACCATAGGAGCCAGTCCGGAAAGCAGGCAGCCAATGAGCTCCTCGATTCACACACTCGAAGTGTTGATGGAGCAATCTGCTTTATTTTTTCTCTGAACAGGAAATAGAGCAGGGTGTATGGCCAGGTTATGTCCTCAATACTCAGTCATTAAACTTCTATTTGCGTCAAATTCTTTCACCAGATGTAAAACATACAAAGCATGAAGGTAAAAAGCCCCTCCAGCGCACACGAGGCGTTACTTTGTTCCCCCTGGCATGATAGAATTGGCAGAAGCACAGCCAATATGGAACACCTGACCATTTCCATTGAGAAAACAAACTAGACGCATTAGAATTGGAGAAAACTAAAAACCTGGAAATAGAAGCTCTGAACCCTAAAAAGCTGCAGACATCAGCCCGATTCTTACCAGTATCAGAATCTTTTTGATCTCCATTTGTTCCTACTGAGAAAGGCAATTTTCTTTTTGTAGTTTTTTCTTTCACTTCTTTCCCTCCATCGCTTCGATCCAACTTAGGAGTCTTGTTTAGGGAAACTTTATCTTTATCCTGGAGAGGAAAAAAAAAAAAAATAGTTAATGAACATATAGAAGGGGCAAGAGTATAACCTCACTCTGTATAGGCCGGGTTCTATGGATCTTAAATCCAGCCATTATTTATTCTTGGCACATTTACATATCAATGATGGTTGACAATGAAGCTGGTCAAACACAAGCTGAATATTCTTTAAGATCTATTTGGTGGAACACATTTGGCCTCTAATCGGAAAAGAAATTAATGGACCCAAATCTGAGGGCTTCTGGTAGCTTTAGACCGTCAAACGATCATTGGTCATACAACAGGTGCCACTGCTAACCTCAACCTCCTGAAAATACTGGCCGTCATACTGATTCAGTGGCTTGAATACTTTCATTGGCCATACAAGGTACGAATGGCAGCCAGTTTTTGAGGAACCACAGTAGGTGCTGCTGTCTGTAGCCATTCGGCTGGCATCCCTCTATCAGCTGAACGAAAGAGCCGGTTGGAAAATCTTGGTACAAACAGTGGGCAGCCAATGAGCTGCCGCCTCTGTCCAGGTATTCAGACAGCGGCCGGCATCCACTGTCGGATAAAAATGAAGTCAGTGGGAGATTCCTCGATCAATTCTTGTACGGGTTTTAGGAATCTGTTCTATTTTTTTGTTTACATTCAGACCGCGGGTTGCACAAAAAGAAATACAACAGCATATGGGCAGCTTTACTTTGAGCCACTGACATGCAACAAATATACAGATCAGACAGTCTGACTTCCAGCCTGCATTCTTTTTCCGGGTTGGTGACAAAGTATTAAAGTAAGAGACAGCCAGGCAAGTAGCATTTTTAAAGTCAGATTGCAGTCACTTAATTTCTCTTAATACAGGTTTCATTTAATCAGCAAAGAACACTAACCGTGAACATTTAGGTAAAATACAGGCTTATGAACATCTATACAGTACATGCACATTTCCCCATGCTTTAACTCTTTAAAGTACAGAAAAATCCCAGACGATCTGCCAAAAAAAAAAGAGACCTTTTATGTCCTGTATTTTAATACTCGTCTCCTTCTCTTTCTGAACCCAGTGCACCCATATACCAAACAGTGTCACAGCAGGACACTTGTCCCAAGGACTTTTGGGCCTTTATATCAAAGTCGCCCATAAAGCAAATGAAGCCGAGGATTAATTCATGCAGTTTTACTTTAGACAAGTGGCAATTGAAGGAGCTACAGTTCAGCCAAAGACAATAGCCCTCTATTAATAGACAAACAGGAACCATATTGTCCCCAGAACAGCACAGTCTCTGCCCAAGAGAAACGCCCAGAGAAAAGCAGGAAGTTGGATAAAGGAACTGTTGATTAGGATAATGTTACATCTATTAGATATATTTCATTCCATACAAAACAAAATCAGCATTTGAAAGTGCAACCTGAACACGAGATCGTGTTTAATAGAACGCTGATCGCTCCCGACTGAAACAGATTTCAGAACATTCTACACTTCATATTCCCTCCTTCACAATGTGATGGTTTTACATGTAAATAATTGGATGTGGGACTACACGTTACATGCACACTGACAGCAGGGACACGCGGCTTAATTTCTGCCCTCTATGAACTTTACGTGGTTTTATGAGCCTCAAGCACTTTTCTGACCTAGACTGTTTAGGTCTCGTTCACACCTAGGCGTATTGCATATGCGCGACCGTCGCGCGTTTTTTACCGCGATTCGCGGTAAAAAAGTCGCCCGACAAACGCGAAGGCTACTTGGATGTATCCCAATGGAAACGCGCAACAAAAACGGCCCAAAGTAGTACCTGTACCTTTTCAGGCGTGGGCCGTTTTGTAGCGCGTTAGGGACGGGCGGAAATACGCCAAGGTGGGAACGAGACCATTGAATACAATGGGATTTATATTTTTGAGCGTTTTGTAGAGCGTTCGTCGAGCTTAGAACGCGCTACAAAACGTTCAGGTGTGAACGAGGGCTTAAGCTGGGTAGACGGCGTTAGAATTTTGTATGAACGTCTGTATTACTATTGAAAAATGAATTAATGGTATTGTCCCAGGCCTGGATGGGCTTCCATATTTCTAAAACCTTTTCATTTCATCCTTGCACCTTATTTACTGGAGATGTGCGATGACTTTACAATCTTCCCCCGTTCCTGCCTCAATGCTTGCCTCCCTAAATCTGAGAAGGACCATACGCCTTGCCCCAATTAACCCCCTATAGCTCTCCTGAAATCTGATCTAACAAATTTCACAAAAATATCTTAGCCCGTTACTCCCCTCTTATACAGGCAGACCAAGTAGGATTTGTAGCGGGTCGGCAAGCCGGCGATAACACTAGACATACCATTGACCTCAAATGTTATAAACTATGACAACACTGAATCTTTGATCTTTAGCCTTGATGCTGAAAAGGATGCAAGGTGGCAAGGAGCAGCCCATGTCCTAGCAACAAAGGATGCAATGCAGCAAGGAGTTGCCCGTGTCCTAGCAACAAATGATGCAAGGAGTTGCCCGTGTCCTAGCAATAAGGAATGCAAGGCGGCAAGGAGTTGCCCGTGCCCTAGCTACAAGGGATGCAAGGCGACAAGGAGTTGCCCGTGCCCTAGCTACAAGGGATGCAAGGCGACAAGGAGTTACCCGTGTCCTAGCAACAAGGGATGCAAGGCAACAAGGAGTTACCCGTGTCCTAGCAACAAGGGATGCAAGGCGACAAGGAGTTGCCCGTGCCCTAGCAACAAAGAATGCAAGGCGGCAAGGAGTTGCCCATGTCCTAGCAACAAAGAATGGAAGGCGGCAAGGAGTTGCCCATGTCCTAGCAACAAAGGATGGAAGGCGGCAAGGAGTTGCCAGTGTCCTAGCAACAAAGGACCATAGACAGCTAAAGTTGCCTGCACCATAGTAATAAGCCGACTATCATCTTTTGCTGCAGAATGACTTGAGTGCATTTGCACTGCATACTACACTCATGTAAACGTTAGTACAAATGTTTACATGTGTACAGTATAAAATAAGGTCCATATACAGGACCTCATAGGCAGATTATTCCATTTTGATTTTACGGATCTGAAAGCAGAACAAATTTATTGATCTTTAAGTACAGAGTGTATGGGCCCATAAAAAACAATATACCTGCGTCCAGATCCGCAAAAAACTGAGCTTTTACTGTTACTTTTGCTTCACTACCAAGGGAGTCGCAGGTAAGATATCCTGGCATTTTAAAGGCACCATCCCAAGTCCAGGTCAGTGACTCAATAATGGTGACACAGTTCCACATTAAAATATGTAATAAAAGCTCTAATATTTATATTCCGACAGGTTCCCATTAAGGCAACCACAATAATTGTTGCTGGATCCTCAATTCCAACAAGGCCCTGAGATGATCAGACAGACTACAGGAAACCTGCCAACTCAGACATCCTTCTTCTAACCTACTGCTATTGTTCCACAGGGATACGTGCCGCACTTATGGTGTCTACTGACTACCGTATAGGCATGATACATTCAAATGTGCATTCTCATACGCTATCTGTGAGGATAAAACAGGAATCACATCTACCGGCAATTATGTTTCTCAGCAATCTCCATGGCAGCACCCCCACCACATGAGGGACATGAAATGATATCCAACTTCATTCATAGTGGACACTACAGACAAAAACAAGTGAGATGTATAAATCAGCCCAGTGTACATGTTCAGAGGCGGATGATAGAGAAACGTATTACACATAGTATGTCTCTACAGCAATACAACTTTTTTCTGCTTGCAAGTTTCCCCAAGCTCGGCTTCAAGTTCCCCAAGCTGACCACCAGTGGCCTAGGCACAACTCTTTCTGTAGACTAAAACCTGTGAACCTGCAGTTGGAGATCCAAGGCAAGGGGCCCTTAGACTAAAAGGCTCAAAGACCTTTAGACTGTTTTGGGGGAGGCCTGAGGTGCAGGAAATTACAGGAAGCCGATATAAAGACAGATCAAGGAACTTACCTTTAATTTCTTCTGTACATATGTTTAAATTTGTATGCCTACTGTACAGCTTTAAGTATGGTGCATGATATGTAACATTGAAAATTAAGGCCGGGTTCACACCATTTTCTGGACCAGATCTGGAAAGCGTTGCATTGCGTTTTGGTGCAAGCTATTTGTTCTTTTTTTTAGCTTAAAATGTGCTCTCAATGCATTCGTGTGTTTGCATGCACTTGTATGCGTTTCTATACCTTCCAGACCAGAGTGAGAAATGCAGTATTTTTCTGGTCTGGAACAGACTGCACTGGTGTGAACAGAGGCCAGAAATAGCATAGGGATGCATTTTGGGTCGGGAAACAATCTGGTCTGGTGATCTGGATGTGGTGTGAATGGGCCGTAAGGGTGCTGTCCATCCCATTGAGATTCAAAGCAAATGTGTCCAGTATGAGTAACAGCGCACAGAATTAGAAATCATTCCAGGAAAAGCACTGGCGGGATGAACCATACAAAGTCATTTCTTCACAAAAGCCATTGCTTGACAAAGCAGCTTTTTTTTGTCTGTGGTTTGACGCACAATAAAAAATTGTCGGTTTGGAGCACACTAAATCTAAAGCAACTTTCTGTGTCCGCTCCTCTGTTCAGTGGGTGGGGTTTGTATGGCCAGCCTGCTATTGGCCCTTTCAAGTTTCAATAGCCAGCCTGCTATTGGCCATTTCAAATTGCAATAGCCAATTGCAGTTTGGCTATTGCTCCCAGCTGCGACGCAAGGGGGAGGGGGTTGTCTTTTGCATGACAGTTACTATTTTCTCTCAAGCAAGCAGAAACTAGTTATCCAGCATCTACTGATCCCTGTGGGTGCCAGACAACTGGGTGCTTACTATGCATGACCGCTCATCTTTCCTTAACCACTTGATGACTGGGGCGTTTAAAACACATCCTGTACAGGCCATATTTCAGTATTCAGTGCTGCAGTACTTTGACATTTATACAGTCATGAAAAACAAACCCGTTTCACTATGAAATGTTATGAAACATTTATTATCACTCCAATGTTTGGGTAAAATATA